TCTGAAATTTACCGTTATATGAAAAGCGGCCTCAATTTTAGTCCGATTTCAACAATTTTCAACGGTTTGCTTTTATGTGGCAAGCACAATAACCATATTGGTACAAATTGCTAGAACGGTTAGCGAGATACATATATGTGATCACAAGTGGGCGGTGCTACGCCCATTTTCCAAAATTTTGTCATAAACGTAATTCTTGGTAAAGAATTGTTGCAATCATCAATTTTGAATAAATTAGCTTCAATATTTACTGATTTATCGAAGATTTTGTATTTCTCGAAATTACCGTTATATGGGATGTGGGCGTGGTTATTGTCCGATTTTAGAAATTTTCGGCCAGTTGGTATGCTGTACCAGGGCCAACAACTGTGCCAAGTTTGGAAGAAATTGGTGTAGCGGTTACCAAGATATACACATGTAACCATAAGTGGGCGTGGCTACGCCCATTTGCCAAAATTTTGTAATATTCTTATTTTTCGTCTAAAACTCATTGCAAATATCAATTTTGAGTGAATTATCTGCAGTAGTTACTAAAATATCGCAGTTTTCGTTTTTCTGAAAATTACCGTTATATGGGAGGTAGGCGTGGTTATTGTCCAATTTTTAAAATTTTCAGCCATTTAGTAAGCTGTACTAAGGCCAACAACTATGCCAAGTTTGGAAGAAATTGGTGCAGCGGTTACCAAGATATACACATGTAACCATAAGTGGGCGTGGCTACGCCCATTTTCCAAAAATTTATAATATTCATGTTTTCCGTCTGAAACTCATTGTAAGTATCAATTTTGAGTGAATTATCTTCAGTAGTTACTAAAATATCGCAGTTTTCGTATTTCTTAAAATTACCGTTATATGGGAGGTAGGCGTGGTTATTATCCGATTTCGCCCATTTTCAATACCATCCGTCCCACGCCCAAAAGAAGTTCACGTACCAAGTTTCGTTAAGATATCTCAATTTTTACTCGAGTTATCGTGTGCACAGACGGACGGACGGACAGACAGTCACCGCTTAATCGATTTCTCTTTTCATTCTGATCAATTATGTATACATTTGTCTATATCTATCTCGATTCGTTTTGCCTGTTACAAACAACCGTTATGTGAACAAAGTTATAATACCCTTGTGCACAAGTGCGCTCGGGTATAAAAATGCACAGCAAAAACTAAATAAGAAAACATTGATATAAACAACAGCCATCGAGACTAAAGTTAAAAATTTAGGGTACGTTCACACAGTAAGCGGAGCTGAGCCGAGCGTAGCTTTCTAATTGCTACAGGTATATGAATGTGTTCTGTATGAGAAAGCTTTTTCAAAAGCGTTTTGGAGCTGAAAGCAAAGCAGTTTTTGATTTGGAATTTTCTGTTTAATTTGTCAGCTTCTGGCGTTGCTGCAAACAAGATATCAAAATATTCAAATGCTTTGATGCAGCAAATATTTCTGCTGCTTTTCATTAGCGGTAAGTTTTGTGGTACCTTTCTAGGCAAAGTCCATGAGAAAAGCTCCGCTTCGCTTCGTTCAGTGTGAACACCACCAGCTTCGCTTTGTTCCGCCTTGCTGTGCTCGGTGCAGCTGGGCTTTCTGTCTGAACGCACCCTTAGGTACATATATACATACACACATAAGTATGTACGAGTATAATAATATTTCTAAACAATAGCGAGAGCGACAGTTACAGTAAACACCAAGAACAACAAAGAAAGCAAACAACCAAAATGCGCGCAACACTAACGCGAACAATAGATGGGAGGGGGGAGGGGGATATGCAATGATGCTCTACATACATTTGTCTTGCATGTAACATAATTCAGTATTTGTTTGCATGTTTCAAATTTATTCACATTATACTCGTACACATATTTTCGAAAACGCGTAAGTGTGCTCACACACACACATATTTGCATATGCAACGCTCTGTGCCATATTCTGTTACATGTCGTGAATCAGTCGTCAGTGTAGTGACTTAAATATCCTTTTGCATAAACATGTACATATGTATGTATATTAATAAGTATGTTTACATTTAGTTGTCGGTGTTTTAGCCAAAAATTTGCGAGTACACGCGAATTTTGTAGAACAAAGTCATGAATTTCAATGAATAACCGGCGTGGTCTGCCAAAAATGCAATGCATAAATGACTGTTTGCATGAGCGTAGACGACGGGTTTTACGGTTGCTCTTTTTAGTATACATTCGTGCCTAAATTGATGTTGCATCGCATTGCATGCTTGAATTAAAAACAAAATATGCTATATATAATCTTATGAATTGTTGACAGTAAATCCGGGTAAAATGTGAGTATTAGAGGCTTTAGGGTCTTGATTTCCGGCAGGAAGGCACTGCTCATGTAATATTCATGCGAGTTCTAAATATGCACGTCATCATACTATGACTAGCTGAATTATAAATGATATGTGCATTTAAAAACTTCCGTCGCTTTAGCGTATTGGCTAGAGGTGCGCCCGTTCTTCAGGTTTGGATACAGAAAGTACATAGTCGGACAGGGTTCGTAGCCTAAGTTATATTTTAACTACCGACGAAATTTACAATTTTTAATTTAATCGAAATTCACGAAGTTGTATACTTTTAAAGGCTGTCAATTACAGTGTTGCATTTAAAGTTAATTAGTTAAAAGCACGGGTCTGTCAGAATAAGAGACGTTGATGTTAAAAAAAAAAAAATGTTGAACAAATTTTTTTATAATTTTCCTATATTTGCAATTTTTATATTATATATGCATAAATATAAGTAAACTTATTGTTTTTTCTAGAAGTTGTGCCTGTTCATTATTTCCATACTGATTTACATAAACAAAATTTTTCCACGATGATGGAAAATAATGGTTTTTCTATTAGAGCCACCAAAATTCCGAAATTGTTCCTAAATTTGAGAAGCTATAGCTAATATTAAAAAAAAGTACTGGAATATTTGGAACCAGCGATCTAAATGCACCCCAGCAATATTAGTGCTGTTCTTTGCATCTTTTGACTATAATCCAGTGAAATTAAATAAGGCAAAGGGCCGCGAGAATTGATATTTGACTCTATCTTTTGCGTTAATGGTTTCATTATCTAATAATATGCACCAGACCTTTTTGCTGAACCCAGAATTTTTAACAAGAATTGGTCTCATTCGACTAATGTGCTGTGGGTCACTTGGCGGTCGATGCGCGGGCTCTTACAACCAAAATAAAAGGCGAATATTTTGCAGGACTTTGACTTCATGATAAAATATAATTTCACTATAACCAAGGGATTTGAGAAAAATTTGATTTTCGACCCGCCCTAATATACATATACATTTACAAATTAACTTGTGCTTTCATGTATTTATATTCATAAATTTATGGTTGTCCAGACAAGACAAAAGTGTACGGAAGTTTACTCGTTCTCAAGGAATACAACCTATTCGGTGCATATGAAATCGCGTCAGGAAAAGTTGTCTCATGTGATTTGTGTTAAACTGAATAATATCCGATCTATTAAATGGGTAGCCGATGAGCCTGCCCTCTCTATGTCCCTCCACCGCCTCCCAGTACTTTCTTCGTATAGAATGTACCCACTCAGAAAATATGATCCTCGAAGAGGACCAACTGATATCACAGATTGGTACACAGAAGGGTTCCAGTCCAACTCGCACTGGCCCGGCACCCGGCACGGTGTTTCTTTTTTTTTCTCTCAGAATTTGAAGCATGTTGAAGAAGTTGTTGACAACCGCAGGTTAAGATTGCTAAAACTTCAGCGTGGAACACCGTGCGCCATTTATTCATGGATATTTAGTGTTTTATATCGGGTGCATGGACAACCGCACCTTCTCTGCCCTCCATGCTGGAACCGCCGGTGAACCAATCTTCGAGATTATATGGGATTTTAATTTGGAACTTCTTGCCATAACATATCTCTTTAGTTATGGAACCAGAAGTTCCATCATTTCCAACTCCGGAATCTTCTTAAGAATACCGCACTGAAGCTTCTTTGTGTAAAACTAGCCTTTAGATAGTCGTAGTTGCACTTTTATCTTGACTGCTGTTTCGTGAATAAAATATGAAGACAAGTTTTGGATGTGAACGACTCAAGAGCCGCAGTTGTGCAAGTTTTTTATTAATCTAGTCCCGGGGAGATATACTAATGTTTGTAGGTTATTAAGATCTAGTGTGACAGAGTCTTCGGCCAACAAACTACGGATGCTTAAGACAATCGGACATACGATTTCGCGGTAAAGCCATTCTATCAGCCTTAAAGTCTTAAAACCTTTGCCTTTAAAAAAGGCTCTTCAGACATGGGGGTTCTAATTAAGTCTTTTGTCAAGAGTGTTGCCTAGACAGTTGACGTCGTCGAAATATTCCAGCTCAGTCATTTCAAAATTAACCGAAATAAGGTTTGGTTTATACGTTATTGTAAACGGTACAACAACAACCTTCTGAGGATTTATGCTAAGCTCATCATTGGTACATTAGTTAAAGACCATACGAAAAGCTGCCCTTGTAACGTCCGATACAGTACTGCCGAGTTTTCCCGTAACTGCCAGATCAGAAGGTTACCCAAGGACGATGTGATTCCGCGCTTATGAAGCAAGTAATGACGGGTCTATGCCCGTTTAGACCAATGCTGTTGAGATAGAACCATAGGCAGTATTATCCAAATCACCCTCGTTGTATTTACAAGGAGGTAGGCACACATAGCAATTTGTTTTGCCTCAAAGGTTCTTGCGATCTTACTAACCAAACAAAGTAATTCCAAATCAATTGGTTTCTCTTTGGGATAAGCGAATTGGGGGTAATGTAAGGAAGTAGATGAGATCAGTTTTTACCTAATGTAGAGGTGTAACCTCTGTAGGTGTATTCCTTTTTGACAATGAAGGAAGTTGTTGTAATAGGTTTGCATAATTTAGCTAAGTGAAGGGTCATGTTTTCCGATTTGGGAATAAATTACATTAATACCTTTCTACAAGTGTACGGTAGGTATTTCCAACAATAGCTAGTTCCAAATAAATAGACCAGGAAACGAATGATATACCCAATGCTTTGATATCCCTCGATACTTTGACGGGTTCGTAAGACTCTACCGCTCCGCGGTCTCAGGGAACGGCTGTATTCACTCGCATTGCTGTCTGCACGATCCCCTCTTTGCGCAACTAATAAGTTTGTTTTAGTCAGTGGAGAAGCCTCTTGATCTTTCAAGTGGGAACCAAAAATTGCGATATCCTTGATGGATACCAGCAAGACACTTTTGAGCAGATCCCATTTCATCGATTGAATTAATGGTGGATCGTAAAAAGTCTGCACCCCTCTTCACTAAAATAAAAAAAAAATTCATTCAGTTTTTCTGGGCGGGAAAATCAAGTTACGTTGTTCGAATTGATGTGCTAATGATCCGAGAGCGACGCTTCATCCGAGACTTGCTGATTCCATACACATAATCTCAGATATTGATCTGCTGCAGAAAGTGAGCTCTAGTATTCCCACCTTAGCTGGTGACAGTAATAAATGTTAGTTTGCATCCTCTGTTCGCAAAATCTATATTATTGCTCGATAGAATTCGGCGAGCTGTACCTCCAATGCCATTATTAGGACGTCGTCTGGGAAGTAGGCAGATGCGAGGGAAGTTTTCTACATACCTACATTTGCCAGCCAGCTGGTTCTACGCACCTTAATGACTAAAGTTTTCCGGGCTCTTGTTTCGGCGACCTAACCCCGTTTAGATCGGCGTTTTTCGTCCAAGGAGCAATGGCCAAGTAGCTACAGAAGCTCTCCAAACCTAAAAATACATAGCGAAGGTCTGATAAAAATATAACATAGCAGTCTATGTCAACATCCGCATCGGACGACCAATAAGCTGACTGCTTCTGTGAATCACTAAACATTTACAAACTTCAACAAAGATTATTGGAATGGTCTCGCAGAAGTTAGCAAGAGCATCTCCGGCACCCTTTTCACACCCATAACACACCAGTTTTGGCATTATCGTATCTTCAGCTTAACTTTTGAGAACCAATACGGAATTAGAATAGTTTCACTGTGTTCGCAAGGTGTCTTTGAAGTGCAGCATTTCCTAAATCGTAGACATTTTTTTTGCAAATATAAAAACTAATCGACTTAGCTTTCGTTACAAGATAAAATAAATATCGTTTAAATTTATTCGTTTAGTTGTCGATAAAAAAAGTATAAAATAAATACAATGTGTGCATTTGTATGATTGGCAGAACGTGTCTTAAAAAACTAATATGTATATGAAAAAATATTTGTGTACTTTTCTTCTTTACAATAGCTGCACCAAACAAAGCAGGCCACTAATTGCGCTATGGCCTTCACCATTTGCCACCCTTCACCTTGTGCAATATGGTCTTGAACACTGGCACCTTCACAGGGAATGGATGCGGTACTTTGACCGTTACATACTTAATAACCTCAAATGGGACACGCTTTTCCACGGGCACTGGTATTGGTCTCTCCACCGGATATGGAACCACATGTTCGACGGGTACTCTGAGCTCCTTCTCAACCGGCACAGGCTTAGTTTTAGTGACTGGAATGTGTATGGGTACTGGCTTGTTGACGGGCACGATAACCGCATGCTGAATGGGAATCTGGACGGGTTCGCGCACCGGAACGTGCACCTTCTTCACCACCGGATACGGAATGTAGTTAATGACATCGGGTGCGTGCTCACCACCACCACCACCTGAGTGCTGCTCAGCTAGATAATTAGCGGAATCATCGTATGATGGTCCCGAAGCCTCTACCTCTTCATGTCCGCCATCGCCACCATCACCCCCCTCACCACCATGATGTTCACTCTGATGGTGGACAAATGAAATGTCCACGTCAGCGTTTGAAGTTGCTGAATCCATGCCAGAGTGGTGGGAGGAGATAGCATCGTGCGCTCCGAAATGCTGCAGTCCGGATGCCGTTGGCAGTTGGTGTTGCTGATGTGCGTAAGTAGCAGCGGCTGAAAGTTCATCGTAACCGCCGGAATTATGATCGTAACGATGCTGAAAATTGCCATTGGGGATTTTGTTGCTCAACAGCTGTTGCTGGGGTTGTTGCTGTACTTGGTATTCGAATTGAGGAGTTGCCGAGTTCGCTGATGAAAATTTGCTACCAAAGGAAGACTGGAAGCCATTGTGTGTGCCAGCTGTGTGCAAATTGTATAGCGCCGTACTGAGGGCATCATTGCTGCGAGAACTAGCAGAGTTATAGCTCTTGCTGTTGCTACTACTACTACTACCGCTACTACCCCAGCCTCCGCTGCTGCCGAAGCCATTGCCGCTGCCGCTACTACCGAAGCTTCTGCTGCTGCTGCTGCCACCGTGTTGATTGTTTCCCCCAGCATTATGTCCTGCTGTGCCGGATGCACCCAATGTGCCGGCGCCATAATCGTTTTCTTGCTGTTCTTCGTAAATTGGTATTTGTTGTTTTGCCGTTGCACCACCAGCACTGCCGCCAAAGCCGCTACTAATGTGCCGCAAACCCGAGAGATTTGTGAGACCATTAAGCTTTGTTGCCCCATAGTTGTAACTACTGCTGCCGCTGCCGCTGCCGCTACCGCTACCGCTCCCACCAATAGTGTAAGCATTTTGCCATTCTCCACCACTGGCACCACCATAACTTCGACGAGTTGTTTTTCGTGCTGCATTTTCTGCTACTGTCGATGCTGCTGTTGGGTCTGCAGCTGTAGCTGTGGGAGTAGAAATGCCATTATTATTGTTGCCACTACTGCTGTTCCGCTCGAAACGAAAATCATAATAGTGTGGCCATTGTTGGAGTTGTTGCTGTTTTCCCACATGATTTGCATAGACATGGGCTATGTTTTTGTGGGCAAGGCTGGCATGCGCATCCGCAGCTGACGTTCGCCCTCCGGTTGTTGATGAAGTTTGGGTTACAGCAGCGTTGCAGACAATTGACAATAATGTTAGTGTTGCCACAGCAAGTAACAGTTGTTGAAGCTGCAGCAGGCCACACGTTAGCGTTGAATTGCAGGCGAATATGTGCAATGTGATATATAGGAAAAAAAAAGAAAAAGAAGGAAGGAAAATTAAGTAAGTTTCCAAAGTTTAGAAAATGTTCGAGAGAAAATATTCTACTTGATAATTGGATAAGTAAAGGAGTGGCGTTATAAATTGTAAGCAATAAGCGCTTGGCCGGGTTTCTCCTCCTATTTGAGCTGTGCGTCCTACCCTTGTCATAAAAAAGGGAAGGGATCTCCAGTTTTACGCAGACTCCGGACGACTGGGAGGTTAGCCATTGCCTGCCGAGGGGCGACCACTATTGGAAAAACTAACTTTTGTTGGATGTTGCTCGGACCAGAAATGGAATCCGCAGCCTACTAAGTGCCAGTGCGCACTGCTTATCTCTCGACCACGGCGGCCGCCTAATATACATAGACAGGGTGTCCTAGATTACCCTAAAAATAGAATGAGTATCACAAAACCGCACAAAAAGTAGGAAAGGTGTAATTTTTTTATGGTATTTTCATGTATTGTTTATTTGTATATTAAGGTGGCCCAAAGGTTATTTTTTCAGCCACGTGACCTTTGACCCTTTGCATATTACTAGTTAGATTTTTATGCGAGTGCTGTGAACTATTGTTCATTAGGGGCCATTTGATCAATGACTGGCTATTTCTACTTCCCAGTTAAACCGGAGCTTTTACCTTCGGTTTGCTTTAGCGTGACATTGAACAAAAGGCCTTACGTTTCGATTTGGATACCAGCAGTGCGATTCTGGCAATCTCTACACTGAATTTTCGTCGCCGAAATTCTCCATATGAAAAGCAGTGGGACCTAAAAGTATACAACACAATAAAGTTGTTTTCAACAAATACCAGACTCCCTGAGGAAGATGTGAAAAACATCGAAACGTAAAGGAGGAAAATGGAACATTGTTTGCTTTTTACTTAACCGACGGCAAAGCTCCTTAATCTACCTCATAAGAAATTGAAAAACTAGCCCTTGAGACATAACATAACATAAAGTTACATATGAAAAAAAATTTATGTTTTGTATGCATTGAAACTGCTTAACTTGAAAGCTTTTATTACTTTTTATTTAGGCCTTTTCATACCTAGTCTTGAGGCCAGGTAAACGATGCATTCTTACCTGCTGTCGCAAGGCATAGCTTGGAGCATAAATAGTGGCTGCCTGCACTTTTTCAAAGTGACTCACTAGTCCTACGAAAATATTGTACTTGTTGCTGAGTTTTATCCTAATGTGTCTGGTAGTGTGGATATGGAAAAATGGCCTTTAAAAGGACCTGATACTATGCAAACATTTGGCCATAAAAAAATAACAGAATATGTCAGCGAGAATCACGATTATGTAGTCCGCAGAAGTTTGACACACGCAGCTCTTTACAATTTCGAGCATAAGGAAGAACAGTGTAAGGAGTATATTCATACACAGCTGTTCGGTCATGCCATTACCATTAAAGCGTTTTCAAAGCATCTCCGTGATGTAAAAGCCTTTAGGATAAAAAGCGTCAGTGAATCATAAAGTAGATGAAATATCATTTCTTTTGGGCTTAAGTATGTGAATTTATGCAACATTATTTGAAAAAGTTCGCGCCGCTGCTACATAGAATGTCGTGTATACGTGACTTGTGGTCACCACTGCAAAAAATGCAGCAAAACTACGAACACTGAACCATTGAATCACTGACCTGGCGCCAACTTATGCGTGATTGATTTGCATTGCAGCCACTTGTGCCAAAATGTATGAGCAGTGAATATGCAATAGCTGCTGAATGTAACGCAAGTGCACATATGTATGCATGATTGAACATGCATAAATATGGATTCATATACATATGTACACAGTATTGATCGTTTATTATGCACCTTAATATTTTTATACCCGAGCGCACTTGTGCTAAAGGGTATTATAACTTTGTTCACATAACGGTTGTTTGTAACAGGCAAAACGAATCGAGATAGATATAGACAAATGTATACATAAATGATCAGGATGAAAAGAGAAATCGATTAAGCGGTGACTGTCTGTCCGTCCGTCCGTCTGTCCGTCCGTCTGTGCACACGATAACTCGAGTAAAAATTAAGATATCTTAACGAAACTTGGTACGTGTACTTCTTTCGGGCGTAGGACGGATGGTATTGAAAATGGGCAAAATCGGACAATAACCACGCCTACCTCCCATATAACGGTAATTTTCAGAAATACGAAAACTGCGATATTTTAGTAACTACTGAAGATTATTCACTCAAAATTGATATTTGCAATAACTTTTAGACGAAAAATAAGAATATTAACATTTTTTTTTGAAAATGGGCGTAGCCACGCCCACTTATGGTTACATGTGTATATCTTGGCAACCGCTGCACCGATTTCTTCCAAACTTGGCACAGTTATTGGCCTTGGTACAGGACCTTGGTATCGGACAATAACCACGCCCACATCCCATATAACGGTAATTTGGAGAAATACAAAATCTTCGATAAATCAGTAAATATTAAAGCTAATTTATTCAAAATTGATGCTTGCAACAATTCTCTACCAAGAAATACGCTTATGATACAATTTTGGAAAATGGGCGTGGCACCGCCCACTTATGATCTCATATAAGTATATCGGTAACCGTTCTACCAATTTGTACCAAACTCGGTGTGGTTATTGTGCTTGCCACATAAAAGCAAAACGTTCAAAATTATTGAAATCGGACTAAAATTACGGTTTTTCATATAACGGTAAATTTTAGAAATGCTCGAAACGTCAATATTTCGAAATTTAAGGTCGCTAATTTATTCAAAATTGATACACCCCGGCTTATCATGTAGCGGTAGCTTTCGGAAAGGTGAAAAGGCATATATGTAATACATGCGCCGGGTATTTAATGTTCGGCCCCGCCCGAAGTTAGACTTTCTTACTTGTTTTGGGTATATTTATGTAGTTATACTTGCCTGCCTATTATATTTATGGTATGCCTGTATGAAAGTGAAAATGGTTACAGAGAGAATAAATTGCTTGCTTCGGTCGCAGTTGCTGTGGATATTTTCGAGCAAAATTGTATCGAGTCATTTATGTGCGCAAGTATAAAAATATTGCATCTTAAATATTTAAATGCTTGTAAGCTCGCAGCTCTTTCAAGGATTAAAATTTAGGCGAGGAATTTTTATGTGTGTGTAGTTGATTCAAATAATTTTATAATTATTGTGATGTATGTTTGTACACAAATACATACATATGTATAAGGTAGGTAAACTTTAGTCTTATCTATCACACTATGAAAAGCAAAAAAGTAATTTTATTTTATTTCAGTGCTGTTCTTCTACATACAAATAACAAAACAACGCCTAATACCAAAATAAAAACAATCGACTTCGATAAATTCATCTTTGAAATAATCGATCAGTAATAAGTTTATAAGGATAATGACATTAATTTGAATCCGTAGATGTTTATTTCGATAATATTGCAATAATATCTATCGATTTATAGAAATAGAACCAGAATACCATTAATACATATCAATAATAACCCAAGAAATTGACATCGATAGTTGCGTCTGCAAAGTTATCGATAAACTTATCGGAGAAAATATCGGTTAGTTTATATATTGGAGAGGATATCGATTGAAATATTGCTAACAGTGGCGAAAATGTGAATATTGGGGGGACATTTTAGTTAATTTTGGCTTTGTTTCTTTGTTTAAAAAATATTTGTTATTTTTTTATGAAAATATAGCTTACTACCAGAAAAAAGGTGTGAATCAAAATTTTTTTTGAGTATGCAGTTTTGTAGTCCATCGAATATTAGGGGCGCCCCATTTCCCGGAGAACTAATGCATTTCAGATTTTCTTAATGCTGGGAAATTTTGTGTATTTGATGTGCATTGAAATTAAATTCACTAATTTTTATAAATTTTTATATGGTAAGTTATGACTCATAGAAAATAATTTTATGGAGAAGAATTAAAGAGAATATATTGATTTAATAACATTGAAACAAACAAATTTCGTCTATCTTTTTTACAATTTTTTTTAACGATTTTTTACTGATGTTTTAAAATTTATAAAATAAGAAAATATAATCATGTAAATAAATATAAATAATAAATTTGGTTTTATAAAAAAACCTAAAACAAAATTTTATAAAACAATATTTTTAGCAAAGTTTGAAGTGCTCTTAAAAAATAGTGCTCATTTTAGATGCGTTTTTTTTTTTTATTTTTTCGAGAAATGGTAGATGTGGTTTCTTGTGTTACTATGTTTTGACGTTTGACTCCTTTTTCAAAGCGTTCCGAAGAACGATGTAGCCTAATTTACTTCACCACTCTCCGAATAGCTACAGCAATTAGGGTCTAAAGAATGTCAAGCCGGGGTTTCCCCAATCAGAAAAATTATATCAATGCGCTGCTTTGGATTTATTCATCAAGGAAGCGAATGTCAGACTGCCAATTGGCTACACAAGAAGACATTGTGCATTCTAAATGACTTCGGGCTGCGTTTTTGATAACCTAAATTATACATTGATTGATTTAGAAAGCTGCAAAGTTTCTGGCCAAATATAGCTCTTCCAACAAATCGAACCATCACTGAATACAAGAATTCGCACTAAATTCTGTCCGTCTCTGATTTAAGATCAGATTACCCTTAGGCTGAATTGGAAGGAAATCTAGTGCTTCTAGCCTTAAAGCGAGAGCCTTTCCCACGGTATTACGGCTGTGCTCTCAAACAGAGTGAGATGGCTGGGCGTGCCTTTAAATACGAAGCATTCCTGCAGATCAAATACTGATGGGCGATCACAGTACTCGTAGCCGTCAGCGAGTCTACTTAAATAAAGGTTACACTGACAAGTGATAGGCTTTGTAAGTCATTGCTTAGCAGAGAAAAAAGTTTGTAAACGTTTTTCAAGATACGCAAAGTGTGATATGTAAATGCAGCACTTTTTTAATTTGACACTCATAATGGCTTTGGTTTTCAAATTTCAGGAGC